GAGAGCATCGATCCGTCCAAAAATCAGCCGAATCGACTTCGATTTGACCGAGCTAGAGAATTCTCAAGTTTGGCCCCGACGTCCCAGCTCACTGGTTGATTTGCACACAGGTCGTCGGCGCGGCCGCGGCGCTCGGCGCGCTCGAGGGCTCGCTGGACGCGCTCGGCGGCGGCGGCCGCGTGGGCCGGTCCCTCGCGCGCCGCGCGGCGGCCGCGCGCGCGGCGACGGAGGCGCGGCTCCGCGAGCTCCTCGGCGCGGCCCTCGCGGCGACGGACCGCGACATCGCCGCGAAGCCCGCCGCGGGCCTCGTCTGCGGCCGCCTCGTCGAGGCGCCCCTGACGCTGCCCGAGCTCCTCGGCGCCTGCGACTCGCTCGGCGGCGCCGCGGGCGCGCGGTTGGCGGAAGAATGCGCGGGCCGCGTCGCGGCGTTCGCGGAAGCCGCCGTCGCCGTCGGGAGCCGCGAGCGCCTCGTGCGGCGGTCCGGGCCCGGCGGCGCGGTCGTGCTGGCCTGGGACGACGGCGACGCGAACGAGGAGAACGCGACGGCCGAGGCGCTGGCCGTCGGGCGGGGCGCCGCGGTGTTGTCGTTCGTCGCCGACGCGTGCCCCGGCGCGGCGCGGTGCGCGCTCGACGCGCGCGTCGCCGACGCCGTCGTGCTGCCCCGGCTCGTCGAGGCCCTCGGCGCCGCGGACGACGCGCCCGCGTCGCTCCGCGCCGCGGCGGCGGACGCGGCCGCGGAGCTCGAGGCGCTCGGCTACGGTGCCGCGGCGGCGCTCCCGGCGGCCCTCGACGGCGCCGGGGCGAAGCGCGCGGCCCGGGCCAACGCGGCGCTCCTCGAGGCCGCGCGCGACGCGCTCGCGGGCGACTGGCACAACGCGGTACCCGCGCCGCCCGCGGCGTCGCCGGGCCTCGGCCCGGGCCCGGGCGCGAGCGTGAGCGCGCCCGTCGCGGCGGCCCTCGCGCCCCTCGGCGACGCGCTCGCCGCGGCGGCGTCGGCCGACGGCGGCGCCGAGGCCGCGCCGCGCGCGGCCGCCGTCGCAAGGGTGTTTGGCCTCGTCCGCGCGGCCGCCCAGCTCCGCGCGCCCGGCGCGGGGCCCCGGCTCAAGGCCCTCCTCCGCGACGACTGCCTCCACGCCGCGCGCGTCGCCGCGGACCTCGCGGCCGGCGACGCCGCGGCCGCCGGCGACGCCGCCGCGCGCGTCGCGCTCGCGGACCACGTCGCGCCCCTCCTCAAGCTCGCCATTTCCCTCGAGGCCTAAGCACCGACCTCCGCCCCCTCCGAGCGCGGTCCGAAGCTACGCTGCGCTGCAGGCGGGGGCCTCGCGCTTTTGGGGAGTCGCTCAGTCGCCGACCCGGTCCGCGTCGTCCGCGGCGAGGAGGAGCGGGCCGCCGGCGTCGAGGTCGACGAGGCAGTCCTCGACGAGGACCGCGGCGTCGTCCGCGGGCCGGGGCGCGAGGACCGCGCCGCCGTCGTCGACGAAGCAGTCGTCCGCGAGCCGCGGGAGGAGCTCGCCGCCGCCGAGGTCCACGAGGTCGTCGACGAAGCGCTCCGCGCCGAGCCCGCCCAGGACCGCGGCGGCGTCGAGCGCCGGCGGCGCCGGCGGCGCGCCGTCGTCGTCGTCGTCGTCGAGGCTCGCGCGCCTGAGCGCCGCGGCCGG